GCAGCTGAATCCAATTATCAAAGCCGTCAGGCCCGAGGTTCGAAGCTCCTGGTATTTATGATTAGTATAGGGGTTTAGGGTTTAGGGTTTAGGGTTTCGGGTTTCGGGTTTAGGGGCTAACGGCTAGTAAGTAGGCACTGTCTGCGTTAAGTGGCCTAAACCGCAGACCTCTGAAGTCTTAAACCTCACCCGAGCTTCCTCAAAAACCATACCTAAGGGTTTAGGGTTTAGGGTTTAGGGTTTAGGGTTTAGGGTTTAGGGTTTAGGGTTTAGGGTTTAGGGTTTAGGGTACCCTGAACCCTAAACCCTTGGACCCTAAACCCTAAATCCCTAAAGCCCTAAACCCTCCGAAAAACCCTCTGAACCCAGGACTCCTAAGCTCTGAACCCAGGACTCCTCCTGTGACCAGAAAGCAGGGATCTAGGGTTTAGGGTTTAGGGTTTAGGGTTTAGGGTTTAGGGTTTAGGGTTTAGGGTTTAGGGTTTAGGGTTTAGTGGCCTTCGATGCCTTTCCTCCGAGTGTGCTCCATCCAGGATGCTCGAAATTTGGGCGAAAGCCTCGGAGGCGTCCGGACAGCGAAGACAGTGAACCCAAGAACTCTTCAAGCAAGGAATATACATCTTGAGTCGTGAAGAGTTCATACGCAGTATATAATATGCGTGTGCGTGTGTGTGCGTACCGGTTCCTTACCGAAGGAATATACTCCAAGACATGTAGAAGGCATCGTAATCGTAGTGTGTTCAAGCTGACACTATCGCACAACTGAAGGACTTTGAAGTATGGGCTATGTATGTAATTACACGGGTGTTTTGGGAAGGGTTTCAGGCCAGAGTCCCTCTGCTTTGTCGGATTCGTTGATCAGAAACGTCAATCTCTGCCAACGGCTTCCTGCTTCGTTCCGTTAGGGTTTAGGGTTTCGGGTTTAAGGGTTAAGGTTTTGGGTTCGGAGACACGCGCACCCTTATCCGGCACCTCAACCTGATAGCGAAATGAAACAAGCACTCAATCCCGAAACACATATGCCTGCAAACTGCTGCGCCCACCTGGCTCAAAACGCTAGATCTCAAATCCTCAGCTGCCCAATCCCCTAAACCCTAAACCCTACACCCCGAACCCTAAACCCTAAACCTGAACCCTAAACCCTAAACCCTAAACCCTACACCCCAAACCCTAAACCCTCCCCAAGCCGCCTGAAGAGTGTCTTCATCGCCTCACCCGGAGGCAGCTGTGCCGGCGCTGCCGGCGTAGCTGGGTGCCTGCTCCAAGGGAACCCAATCTCCCGTTAGATCAGGCATGTTACAAAGGCCTTTAAGAAATAGAATAGGGTTTGGGGTATATTAAATTAGATCAGGCATGTTACAAAGGCCTTTAAAAAAAATTGAGGGTTTGGGGTATATTAAATTAGATCAGGCATGTTACAAAGGCCTTTAAGAAATAGAATAGGGTTTGGGGTATATTAAATTAGATCAGGCATGTTACAAAGGCCTTTAAGAAATAGAATCGGGTTTGGGGTATATTAAACTATACCTATAACAAGGAGCCCTACTGAATACACGTGGTAATTGTTTAGGTCCGTATATTATTCCACCAAGGAGGGCAAGGAATACGACTTCAGGTTTCTAGCTTGTGTACAGTAAGTAAGGGGGGTTTAGGGTTTAGGGTTTAGGGTTTAGGGTTTAGGGTTTAGGGTTTAGGGTTTAGGGGGCTCAGTTAGAACTTCAAAACCCTAAAGAACTCGGACCTAGGGTATACTTGTGGCTGAAGCAATGGCTTCCGACGTCGCGAGGGCAAGAGGTCAAGAAAACACCAGAACAATTTCCCTATAGTAGAAGCCCAACAGTTGGAAACCCAATGGCAAATCCTCAAGAGTAATGTACAGGGAATCCCAGCACTATTGTCCGAAATCCGGTTTCCAACTTTTTGGGGTTTACTATAAGGCAGGGTAAAGATCGCGTTTACAGCCGAAGGAAGTCACGAATTTCAGCAACAATTTCGAGGATGGTTCTGCCAGCGAAGTCTAAGAATGAAGCTCTGAACCCTAAACCCTGAAGCCAAAAGCCCAAGCTTGTATCGGGTTTAGGGCTCAGGGCCAAGACCCTAAACTCAAAGCCATGCGGCATCGGCGGGCTGTTCGGGGCCACGGATCCGTCAACTTCCGTCTGGACATCCGCGGCCTCGTCAGGAGTTTAGACTGCTCCGGAACCCAACCCCAAAATTCCAGCACAATATATACATGTGCGCATAGAGTGTATACATGCATACAAGATCATACAAGCGAACCCAATCATCCCGACACCCTTGAAAATAGCAGCGATTTTACTCCAAGGATCAGGGATAGGTTACGTATGCGTACGGCAGTTGGGAGTGGCAGGGCCGGAACAAGTTAGCCCTGCGCACGTCGTTTGGCGGTTCGGATTCCGGAGTTTCTTCTGGACCCTTCGGAATCCTGCCTTTCATAAGTAGAATAGGGTTTCATAGGGTTGCTTTAATGGCTGCTATAAGGGCTACTATAAGGGTTGAGGGTGTAAGGGCATTAATAAGTAGAATAGGGTTTCGGGGTGTACGTAGTGTACTGTAAATATGATAAGGAACCCCCCAAATAGTATAATAGGTAATTCTTCAGGCCCCTATATTATAGGGCCTAGGGCGACGGTGTTATCTTGCTGGGCAGTTGGTCACCAGGGATCAATGCATAGCTTAAGCCCCAGCCAAACCCTAAACCCTAAACCCATAAACCCTAAACCCCTAAACCCCTAAACCCCTAAACCCCTAAACCCCTAAACCCCTAAACCCTCAACCCTAAACGCCTAAACCCCTAAANNCTAAACCCTAGACCTGAAACCCTGAAAAGGTCTCGAGATGATGACCCTTGGCCCCGAACTCCCTAAAACCCTAAGGCCAGAAGCTGTAATAGAATATAGAACATAATCCATAATATAGTATACTACATTGTAACAATGTGGTATAATGTAATACAATATTGCATAGCACACACATATATATATATATA